AGTGGAAGATGTCATTACATAAATTAAATAGGTATGAATAAATAAAAAGAATAAAAGACTATAATATCAAATGAGGGTATTTGAAGAAAAGAAATATGTATAAAGAAATAAAAAATAAGTTAATTAAAATAGAGAAATTAAAAGATGTTAAAATAATTGCAGTAGTAATCTCTATAAATTAATTAACAAATATTGAAAATATTAAATTAATTAAAGAATTAAAAATTGAAATTGATAAGATAAAAGAAATTAAAAACTATGTAATTAAAACTATGACTATGTCATTGAATATTGTTTCTACAACAACCAAACATACATTGTTGAATTACTTAATGAAGAATCAAAGATGGAATTAATCCACCCTGAGTTATGAATAATAAAAACAATTTCTTTTATTACTTAATTATTTGCTTTTTATTATTAGTTTATATTAATAGTTCAAAACAAAAAAGAAAAAAAAAAGAAAAAGAACTAATAAAAAAAAAAGAATGAAGATAGTTGTATTAGATGCAAAGACATTAGGAGATACACCATTTGATAAACTTCAGAAATATGGAGAAGTGAAAATATATGAAAGAACAGAAAAAGAAGAAAGGAAAGAAAGAATTAAAGAAGCAAACATTATATTAACAAACAAAGTGATAATTGATAGAGAAGTAATGGAAGGGAATGAAAATATTAAACTAATAGGAGTATTGGCAACAGGATATAATAACGTTGATATAGAATATTGTAAAGAACATAAAATAGGAGTGGTGAATGTTGCAGGATATTCAACAGAAAGTGTAACACAAATATGCATAGGACTATTAATGGAATTAACTAATAAAATATCAAAATTTGATCAATATGTAAAAACTGGGAAGTATAGTCATCAGGATATTACATGTGTGGAGGTGAGTATGATATCATGAAATATCAAATAAGAAATGGTGTATGTTGGACTTGGAAGTATTGGGAAAAATGTAGCAAAAATTGGGAAAGGGTTAGGAGCAAAAGTATATTATTACAGTACAACAGGAAAGCATGAAGACCAAGAAATAGAAAGAATTTCATTTGAAGAAATGATTAAAACAAGTGACATCATTAGTATTCATTGTCCACTTACTGATAAAACAAAAGGACTTTTTAATTATAAAGTATTTCAAGAAATGAAAAAAAGTGTAATAATCATTAATATGGCACGTGGACCAATTGTTGTAAATGATGATATTGCAAAAGCACTTCAAGAAAATTTAATTGGAGGATATGGAACTGATGTTTTTGATGAAGAACCAATTAAGGCATCAAATAAATTATTAGAAGTAAGAAGTGAAAAGATTGTATTTAGTCCACACATTGGATGGGCAACAATTGAAGCAAGAGAACGTTTATTTAATGAAACACTAAAGAATATTGAATCATTTCTAAAAGGAGAATATAGAAATAGAATAGTCTAATTGATTCATTGAGATAACAAATTTATTATGATATTTTCATTGATTTTATCATTAAGTAATAATATCATTTGATGTTTATTTGTGATAACAAGGATAAGATACCACAAAATGAATAAAAAATAAATTTAATATCAATTTATCTCTGTCATTCATTCTATTTCATTTATTTTATTTGTTAAACTAAATAACATAATTATACAAACAAAAAATTATAAGAGAAACAATAAATTAATTGAAAACCATTCAAACCCCCATCTCAATGGAACAAAACACCAATTCAAATGAGATAAAGTATGTTTATTGAAGGTATACACTTGACTAATAAAGAAAAATACAATTAAGCTAGTACTAAGTAAAACCATTATATTAAGAATTATAAAATTAGAAGAATAATATTACAAAACAAAATTGATTTATGAATAATTTAGTAATAATAAATGGAGTAAAATGATAAGTTAAACAGAATAAACTAATAATAAAAAGCAAATAATTAAGTAATAAAAGAAATTGTTTTTATTATTCATAACTCAGGGTGGATTAATTCCATCTTTGATTCTTCATTAAGTAATTCAACAATGTATGTTTGGTTGTTGTAGAAACAATATTCAATGACATAGTCATAGTTTTAATTACATAGTTTTTAATTTCTTTTATCTTATCAATTTCAATTTTTAATTCTTTAATTAATTTAATATTTTCAATATTTGTTAATTAATTTATAGAGATTACTACTGCAATTATTTTAACATCTTTTAATTTCTCTATTTTAATTAACTTATTTTTTATTTCTTTATACATATTTCTTTTCTTCAAATACCCTCATTTGATATTATAGTCTTTTATTCTTTTTATTTATTCATACCTATTTAATTTATTGTAATGACATTCTTTTCCAATAACACAAATATATAATGTCAATGCTTGGTGATTTCCTGTTATTTATTTTCATCATAATTAAATTTAAATCATCCAATGTGATGATGGGATTATCATAATTTCTGTATCTTTCATTCTAAATTATGATTTGATTTATTTTTATTTATTTTATTTGATTAATGATGATATTAAGATATTCATCATCAATATCAATAGAGTTATTTTTCATATTGATGTTTTTTATTATTGAGGTATACTCTATTTTATATTCTATGATTGAGTTTATTTTATTTTATATGATAATTTAATATTATTAATGTATTCCTTATCATTATTTACATTAATATTTATCATTTTTATTATATTTTCTATTTGTTTATTTCTTATTTTTTTATTTAATTTATTATTTAATAAATAATTGCAAATCAATACAATATATCAATTAAATTTATATTTGTTTGACTTATTGTGTTTTATTTTTTATTGATTGATTATCATTTCTTGTTTTTGCTATTCAGTGTTTTGTTCTTTTATTTCTAGTACTGTTTTTTTCATAATGGTAGTTTTG